CGGTCGCCTCCCAGAGGGTCCCCCGGCAGCCCAGCCAGGCCCTGCTGCTCCTGCTGTAGGAGGAAGAGGTTGGGCCCGAATAACGGATTCATGGCTGCGCCTTCTGCTGGGAGATGGAGCCCGGTGCAGGGGCAGGGATGCAGGGCGAGGGAGAAGGGCCAATGAGGCGCCCGGGGGATGCAGGACAGCCAATCAAGCGGCTCGGCAGGAAGGGCAGAGGTCAGGGGGGCGGGGGAGGGCGCAGAGGAAGCCAATGAAAGGCTCAATCTGAGGTTGGCACCTCAACTTTTGCGGGTCTGAGGCAGAGCCCAGAGCTGAGCAGAGCAGGAGCCAGGCGCCAGACCCGTCTGTGCTCAGATCCCAGCCAGGGTGGCCGAAACCCTAACCCTCCAGTCCGCCATGGGTCCTGGTGGCAGGAAGCCCATCTCCCCACACCCCTATCGCCCTCCTCTCCCCAACACCCTACCTCCAACTCCTGCGCTCTCCTTTCCCGGTCCCTGGAGTCCCAGGAACCTAACACTGACCTGATTTCCGTGTATCACTGCCCCCTCTTAGGAGGATCCCTGTCCCACCCTCCCATCAACCCTTAAAGGAGCAATGCCAGTACTCAGCCCCCTCAAAAAACACAGCGACCAGAGATTGCAAAATGTATATTAAACTTCATATGCACAGTGGGCAGCCATCCTCACAGAGGCAAGAGTTCCAACCCAGGGACAACAGCAAGGAACACCCCAGTCTCGTTTCACCCAGGTGTCTAAGACAGCGGTGGCCGGCTGCTGCCTCTGGACTGAGATTTTCTCCTCTTTGCTGGTGGGGGTCGGCTGGCACTAAGGGGGGACATGGTAGGAGTCTGGGGTCCCTCGGAGGTGCCATTCTGTTTCTGGAAGGCAGCTTTCTTGGAAGGCTTCTGTGGCACCTGCTGCTTTACCTTCTCAGCCCCTTGGGGCTGAACACAGTTCTCAGGCTTCCAAGTGGCCAGAGGCTTGGAGAGGGACAGCCCGGAGGGCATCTCTGTATCCATGCCCTTGAGAGGAGCATTCTGCCTCCGGAAGGCAACTTTCTTGGAAGACTGCAGTTTAGGTGACTGTTGCTTTAGTTTCCCAGTCACCTTGGGTTTCCTGATCACTACGGCCTGTTCAGCTGGCTGCCTGTTACCCTGGAGCTTGGAGGAGGCTTGGACCTTTGGGACAGAAGGTCCAGTGGGCAATTCAGAGTCTGCCCCTTTGGGGATACCATTCTGCTTCTGGAAGGAGGTCTTCCTGGGACGTTGCCGTTTCTGCAAGTGCCACTCTGCTTTCACAGCCCCTCTGGCCTTCTTGGCAGGCTTGCTGCTGCTCTCAGGCTGGGGGGTCACCTGGCCTTTAAGGTCAGGCACATCTGGGTTTGTAGGGGTGGATGCTGCAGAATTTCCTGGGGCTAAAATTAAACAGATTATGTGAGAAAAAGGACCTCATCACTGGGTCTTGATCATTAGTGGCATTAAAATAAGGCAACTGCCTGGGTACTATTTCTTGGCCAAGTGTTCCACATAACTGAAAGAGTGCCTTAGAGTAGGCTACCTGGTTTCACATTTCTTAGTACCATCACCTGGCTTCACTCAAGTCCTATTTGAACCCTGCATTAAAGAAAAGGGTTCACTACCCATCCTTGGGCCAAAAAGTTTTAAAGGAAGCTGTGCCCCCCCAAGGACAGAAGATAGCAAGACATTCTAATACAACAACTAGAAACAAGCTATCCTATATAATAATCTTATATAATAAAAAGGTAATATGCAAGTTGACCCTAATGGCGGAATGACTAGAAACGACCGGTCACTATGACATGCACTGACCACCAGGGGGCAGACATTCAATGCAGGAGCTGCCCCGGGTGGTCAGTGCGCTTCCACACAGAGAGCTCTGCCCAGCCACAAGCTGAGCTGACAGTTGCGAGCGCTAAGGATGTCTGACTGCAGCTTAGGCCCACTCCCCTGGTGAGCGGGCCTAAGTCTGCAGGTGGAGATCCCCCAAGGGGTCCCGGACTGCGAGAGAGTGCAGGCCTGGCTGAGGGACCCCCACGAGGGCACGGATTTTTGTGTACTGCATCTCTAGTTAAAACATAAATGAGTACTGACATTTAAATACATACTTTTAAAGTTACAACAAACTTTAACTATTTCTTAAGGTTTTTGTTAACATTCAGATGTGACTTTTATAAGGGTCGCTACTGATAAAGAAAACACCCAACTCAATAAACCATGCAGTTTGTATCCAGAGACGCTCACTTCTCCCTCTTCCAACTAAACCCAGGTTATATCCCAGCATGCAGAGCCCAGCAAACCCCACGCTTCCCCTTGAGATCCAGGACAGATGCCTCAAGATGGCTGAGAAAACAATCTGTAATTAGTGTGATGGGCTCAGAGAACGGACAGTTCTGAGGAGTGTTATTGCCAACCCAGTGCTGACAATGCTGGACCAGCAGAGGTCCATTACCAGTAAGGTGACCCTGGGCCAAGAAGGAAGAGAAACCACAATCCGCATTGGGAACATATTTAGTGATGAGCAAGTGCAACCACGTGGTAGATAAAGGAACAGGCTGGCACCCACAGGAGCACGGTAACATGCTCCAATGGGGTCCCGGCTCAGCACCAAGCCTGGCTGGGTGAAAGAGGTCTCTTATCCACGCAGGCGAAGGCTGTGGTACTGATGGCAGAAATCCTCTCTTCCCCCCACTCACACTATAATGAGCCTGGAAAGGCAGAAAGAGCAAAGGCAGTGATGATGGGTAGAGAGATCACTTACCTGTTTGGGACTGGGGAATAGAATTGGAGAATTTCTTGAACTTGGCAATAAAGAAACCATCCATATTGTGGGTGTGGGGGTAGAAGCGGCGGGTGGAACGCAGAGTGGGGTGGAAGCGCCTTTCTCGAAAGCGGGTAAAGCCCTCCTGGCCAAAGTCTAGACCTGTGGGCACCAGCCGCACATTCCTCTTCTTCAGGGCATAGTCTACCACCCACTCGTTCTCTTCCACCTGGATATGTGGGGGAGACAAAGATGGAAGGAAGAGCAGAGCTGAGCTGAAGGGAGCTAAGGGGCAAAGTCTTCCAGCCCTGCCCCCTGCTCTGGCATGCAGAGGCCTCACCATGATGGAACAGGTGCAGTAGACGAGGTAGCCGCCTGTCTTGGAGGTGGCATTGACAGAGTCAATAGCACTCAGGAGCAACTCCTTCTGAAGGTGAGCACAGCGCAGGATGTCCTTCTCATCCTGCCCCAGGGCGGAGACCCAAGAGTGTCAGAATTTCAAAAGGCAGCCTCAGGAAGAGAGGTGAGGTGCTGGGTGCCCCGGGTGCCCCTCCCCCTCCCCCTCCTGCTCTACAAGGCCCAGCCGAGACCTCTCAGCTATTCCCACCCCCACCCCAGCTCCTCACCTTGTTAGTCTTCACAGCTGGGTCCTTGGAGATGACCCCAGTGCCACTGCAGGGAGCGTCCAGCAGTACTCGGTCAAAGCCCCCCACCACCTGGAGAAAAAGGGTAGGTTAATCGCGGTTTTTAGTCACCTATACTGCACCATTTACTTCCTAGAGGCAAGTCTAAATATTCTGATGTCAGGAAGGGGGCAGGTGAACTGGAAGACACCCCAGGAGAGATGCACAGAAGGGAGTCCCACCTTGGGGAACTGACGCCCATCATAGTGGCTGATAATGGTGTTGGTGACTCCCAACCGGTGCAGGTTACCCACAACACTCTTGAGCCGCTCAGCATTGGCATCATTGGCAAGGATCACACCTGTGTTCTTCATCAGCTGGGCTGGGGGGAGGGAGGGTAAGTGCTCAGCAGCCAGCTCCTCTGCCCCCACACTTGCTAGCACCTCCAGCCCAGGAATCTACAGGTGAAGTCTCAGCACCTCAAGGGAAACTTCACCCCAATCAGCCCTGCTCCCTACTGCCTACCGCATGGGTCTTCCCAGTCTGCACTGACCCCTGGTGATGAGCACACTCATCAACATGGGTTTTTCCATCGTTACTGAACATCTCTCTGGTCCCACAGACTAAGTTACTTCTTTTAAGCGTTAACAGCTTAATAAGAAATGGTTACGACTAATTACTATGCCAAGCATCTCTATATGTATATCTCAACCCTTATCACCCAAGCATAATATAAAAGCCAACCCAAGCACAATTACCACCCCATTTTACTGGTGACAAAAGGAAGTCAAAGGTTTGCCCGAAGTGCTAAGTGTCATCCACAGGGCTGGAACTCAGGCTGGATCCAGAGTCTGTACTCCTCACCACCCTGCTATCTGGGCAGTTTCCTGAGAACTAGCGAGTCTCCAACCCCATCTACTTTCAAAAGCAGAGAACCAGACAAATCCTTCTCCTGCCTGCATTTCTCGTACCTATGTAGCTGGTCTTTCCTCCAGGGGCACAACACATGTCCAGGATCCGCTCATGTTCCTGGGGTGCCAAGGCCATGACAGGTAACATGCTGGAGGCTCCCTGTAGCATATAGTGCCCAGCCAGGTACTCGGGAGTAGCACCTGCAAAGGAGGACCTGTTTGTGACATGCTGGGAGAAGGGCAGAGGCAGAAGGGCTACTGATCAGGGAACACTCACCAATGGGCACTGAGGAATCATATACCACTAGTCCTGTCTTTGACCACTTGCCCAGGGGATCCAGGTTAA